TTTGCAGAGTGTTGCATTTTGTCCTAGCAAGCAATTAATTTGGCAGGTCACCTTGATTCTTTGGAGGCTTATTTTAAAACTTTAAAAGGTCTGGTTTATTTCAGTTTTGTTCTTAGTCCCATGAGATTTCAATGGAAAGACCAAATTGTTTGCCCAGTCCCTCCAACTTGGTAGAACGTAAACTCCAAAATCTGTCTTCCCAGCAGTAGACAGCTGCTGAGGTTGCTGCTCAGCCTTTTTTAGCCTTTCAGCTGATGTTTCCCACTGGACTCCTTGGAGTCCCACCTCATAAATACATAGTTCCAGAACCAGCCCGTGATTTGAGGGGAGTATATATATAGATTTGGCGGCTTCCCCTTCCCTGTCTTCTTCCTTTCCAGGATCTCCTCCTGTATTTCCAGCTATATTGGCAGCCTCAAACTCTGGACTCTCCCTGATTCCTTAGCCTAGTTAGACTCCAGTTTTCTGCTTGAGCCATATTCCTTTTGTACTGCATGTTAGTGTCCATAAAGGAAAAGCCAGTTAGGGGTGGATCTCATTGAATCTCACCTTTATTTCAAGGATCATATCCCCTTCATTTTTTGCCTGCTTTTTGGTTGCTCTCCAGAACCTTCAGGTTTTTTTTTTTAATATTTTATCCAGAGTTTATTACTGTTATTGGCTGGAGGGTTAGCCCAAAATAAATTAGCCCACGATTATAGAATGTAGAACTCTTCAATCTTTCTATAGGCTGTCTGCCAACTCTCCTTGGTTCTCTCAATTTAAGAAAAAAAAATTTAAGTTTGTTTTTATTTATTTATTTACATAATTTCTACATGCAACATGGGCTTGTACTCATGACCCTGCAGTCAAGAGTCATATCCTCCTCCGACTGAGCCAGCCAGGTGCCCCTCAATTTTTTTTTTCCACTTCCAAGTGAAACCAAACGATTTATTTGTGCTAAATGAGTGGAAATAATGTATTCAGAGTATACTTGTTTGTACGCCACACTTGCTTACGCTGGGCGACACAAGCGCTCATCCAGCTAGTGTGCTACTTCTGTCTCACCTCTTGTCTCTTCTGCCAAGCAATAAAGTATTCTGTGGCTGTTATGCCAAGAGATTCCTATAATGTTCATTTCAAATAGTACTTTCTAATAGTATTTTGCACCTTTAAAATATTTGTTCAAACTCTATTTTAATGGAAAGGGGAAAATAGCTGTTTCTATTACAATCATGTTGCCTTCTGCAGCAGAAATCAAAGAGTGTGTCTAATCAGCCATCAAAACCACTGGTGGGCAGGACAACATTTATCGACTCGTGTTAGAGGGGCCGGTCTGGGTAAGTTAACACTAAAGATAAGGAAAGAATCCCATCTTAATATACAATAATTATCCATCACACATGTATGTGGAAAAGGTACAGCCATGTGATCCATTACTTTAGCCTATCATTTCACAAGAGACATGGATGTTGACATATACTGAAAATAACCTATAAAAAGTGTATCTGTAGAAAGCTCTATCAAAGAGCATATTGTCTTGGGCACTGATGCATCTAACTTTCCATTCTACACCGAAAGCTAGATTTTCAAAGGTCTGAATTGTAGTGAATTATTGGTATGTTTGGTAAACACCATTATAATGGGGGGTGGGGGGAGGGGAGTAACAGCTCAGTAATTTTCTGCAAATTCATGAAAAAAAATGTAGCATGACTTTTTCCATCAGTGTTTTACTTGAATCTACATGTACATCCATTCCCTGGCTGGAACATTTGCTATTCAATATTTGGTAATTCAGCAGCAGTGTGCATTTTTGCTTGGCCCCAGAGCTTCATTTCCTGGCTTTTAGGTTTGTAAAATAAAAAAGGATATCTTTTTTACATTTTTTTTCATGAATTTTTTTTAAATAGCATACTGTTTGTTTCATGGATACTGTATCTTTTCTTACTCCTCTGAAGATATTAATGATAGTGTTTCCTGTTTTTTAAGTTTTCTTCTCTATGAATGGTCTATTTCCTCCAATTTTAATTCTTCTCTTTGTTCTTTGTTTTGGTCTCTGACATTTATGTTGGAGGTTTTTCCCTGGTGACCTGTGGTTGTCTACTAATGTTTAAGAGTAGGAGACTAAAATCACACCGAAAGCTCTGTGCCCTGCTTGTGGGTGGAGGCTGTGGTGCACTTCATGGTATGGTGATCAGGCTAGGCTGTTTGTTGGGTGGCCCAAATGCCACTGTTTCCAGGTCTGCTCTCATAGACTGGTCACATTTCCCAGAGAAGATTCTTCCCATCTATCATAATCCATTCAGGCTGCTATAACAAAATGCTGCAGATGGATCACTATAAACAACAGAGATTTATTTCTCACAGTTCTAGAGGCTGGGAAGTCCAAGATCAGGGTGCTGGCATGGTTGGGTTCTGGTGAAAGCCCTCTTCCAGGTTTCAGACTGCTGACTTCTCTCTGTGTCCTCACATGGTGGAAGGGGCTAGGGAGCTCTGTGGGGTCTCTTTACACTCTCATGACCTACTCACTTCCCAAAGGTCTCCCCTCCCAATACCATCACATTGGGCATTAGGATTTCAAGATAGGAATTTTGTGGGGACACAAACACTAGACCATAGAACAGTCTCTTCCCCCAGAGTTTAAGGTTTAGCGGCATGCTTTCTGGGAGCTAAATGGGAAGAACACTGGAGGTCTCATCATCCATTAGGCATATGTTCACTTGATTCCTCAATTTTGGAGTGGCCAGCCCTACCCTCAAATGGTGTCCCCTGCAACTGAGACCCTCTTTCGGGTCCTCTTCAGAGGACACACATTCAGACTTGTGGCAGACAGGCAATTGCCTAAGAGTTTGGAGCCAGGAAGGCTTCTAGGGGTCTACCTGCTTCTCAAACAGCCTTCAACTAATCCCCAGGCTTCAGTCTCCCTTCCCCACTGCCAGAGGTCTCTGATGTTAATTCCTGAGCCATTTGAAGACTCTTTGGACAAATTGTGTTCTTGGCTTTCCTCACTGCCAGCCTCAGGTTTGGCTTTCTTGAGTGCATAGTCTGTTATCACTCATGTATCTGCTTTCCAGCCTCCAAAATTCTGATGGTGGTTTCTCCTCTGGGTTTCAGAAGGGAGGGAAATGAACTCAGAATCCAGCAGCTGGATTCAAGAAGGTGGTTTTTGTTGCATTGATTAGCTAGGGTGCAGAATCTCCAAGTCCATGGACATGAAGTACTTCTGAAGAGTGGAACCAAGAGGGAAATTTTTGTAAGAAAACAAGTGCTTATGAATCAGAGTTAGTATAGACAAAAGTAGCAAGTATAGATTAATGCTTTTGAGAATTTATTTATAAGAAAAAAGGGCTACATCGTCTAGTAAGGCGACCTGAGAAAGGGTGTACATCTCCTCCTGGGGTTCTCTGCTGTGCTGTGCCTCTGCGTCTGGACCTTGCATGTGCCACCTCTTCCTTGCTTCAAGGAAATGCAGTGGGGTTGAGGAAGCTCCTAGCAGGTGGCGGTGAAGTCATAGCCTTACAAGGGCAGATGGGATTCTACAGCCAGGAATGCAGAGAGGTGACATGTCTCAACTTAAAACCACAGCCAGCATGAAGTAGGCTGGTGTCAACCTGGATGCTAGTGGGTTGCTTTTGAAACGGAAGCAGGTAAGTTTGGCACAAATAAAAGGAAGCACAATTTACCGAAACAGAACAGAAACTTGGGAAACTATTATAAGTGGCTCTTCTTGCAGATGGCTTAATTCCCCAGGGGTTGGACAAAAACAGAGCATTCCTCCCCACCCCACCCCCTGTAAAAAAAAAAAAAAGAGAGAGAGAGAGCCTTCTAAGAAATCCTGGAGGTTCTGACAGATACATAACCCTTCACTTAGACACTGACGAGGACAGTATGCTCTTACTGGGTTGGATGGAGAATGGGGCAGCTTGGTGTAGCAGGGAAATCTTGACCTGAATTAAGAAGATCTGGGTTCAAATCCTCAACTTACTTGCTGTGTGACCTTGAGCTAGTTCCTAACCTTTCTGATGCTCACAAGGTTCTGGTAAAGCTGTTAAATAATGCAGTTACATAACCCACAGTAGGTTCAATGAAACAAAGGTTAGCCTGAGTCCAAAACTGAATTATCTCGGTTTTTATTTAACACGTATTTGCTGAGCCCTATCAAATACCAGGCTGTGTACATATATCTCCCCTATTCTAGAAAGGCTCCTGAAGTGAAGGCCCAGCTCTGTTCCATCCTGCAGACCTTCCTCAGGATGGCGGGAGGCTGTGAAGGTGAGCACCCCTATGTCCTCTCCCTTGGCTGGGGCTCCTGGTCCCATCTCAGCAGACAACCCCCACTTCCCTCTTAGCCACTTTCCTAATAACCAAGCGAAAGGTTTCACAACCTGGTGAGTAATACCAGATGGTAATGATACGCTCTGTAGGCCACTTCTGCTTTTCATTTATTTATTTCTCTTGAGAGTCTCTAGAGGACCAACTCTGGGAAGGAGAGTTGAAGGTTTTGGGGGGAGGGGGAGGGGGTGGGAATGAGGGCCACCATGACATGGTGGGTGTTTGAGATTCATTCCCCTCCTACAGGAAAAAGTGTTCCCAGCCTCTGAGTGCCCACATCACTGTGATTATTTATGGTTACCTCAGACCACATTGTGTCTCCTCCAGGCCAGTTGTGCTCCCCATTCCTTAGTATCTGGTGAGAGACAGCCCATGATGTAGGTTTGATAAGCGTATCGGCACCTGCCTGGTATGCTGTATGTCTTGGCAGTAACCACTACACCTGCCCATCCGAAGCCCAGCTTTTAAGATACTTCAATGTCATTCACGTATTTTCTTGGCCTCAATTCGACTTCCCTTTGGTCCAACCTTAAACTATCCTGCGTGAGCTTTTATGTGAATTAATGCCTGACCGCCTTTCCTTGACTTTTGCGACGTTGTGGGTGGGAGGGCTGGCTCTGTCTTTGATCTCGCCTTGCCTCCTCTGTCAGAACTGCTTTAACATTGACCCCATTTCTCTCCTTCCCCAGAACTCACATGCTGCGTGTCGGACTGAGCTATCTCTATTTCATACTATAAGCCAAGACTTGCTACACTGTCCTGCTGATGTTCACAGTCGTGCCTGGGAAGGAGGCAGCCCCATTTCCAGCACATTTCAGTGGGAGACCTTCTCATGTGCCCCCTGGAGACTCAGTGGGGCAGGGGAAGAAACTGTTAGGAGTGCACGGCGCCAAAGTCGCGTCTCCATGTGTGAATCAGTGTCACCTCGCTTTTCTCTCAGAGACCTCACTGTCCCACAGCGGGAACTGCCTGAAAATTGAGGGGATGAGGGAGCCCCTCAGCCTCCTCCTTCTCCAGCACTCGGCTCCCAGGCACTGTGGCTCTTTCAGCAGCAGAGCTGCTGGGAGCTCAGAGCTGCTGCTGCCCTGCATGTGTCCGCTCAGCCCTGTTGTTGGCGCCCTGATGGTCTGCAGGAGGGACATGGCAGCTTTCTGAATGGATTTTTCTCAAGGAAAGTGCCAGTGTATGCAGTTCATGATATTCCCGTATCCTTGCCGTTACTGTCACTTGGCTTTTTCTCAATAGGCTTCATCTTTATTTTTTTCTAATGGGGAAGTTTTGCTCTCACCCCTGCATCCTATATTTGACTCCCCCTCCTCTACCCCTCCTAGATACAGAATTATGAGATTCTGACAAAAAATAAGAAAATCTTCTTCGGTAAGCCTGTGAACTCTTCATATCATCTGTATTTTATTGTTGGAGAGAAGCTGGTGTCCTACTTGGTTCTGCCTGGTCCCAGACAGCTCCAGCAAAAGCAGGTGTTAAAACGGAGCTGAGCGTGTGTATCACCGTGACAAGCCATTCGCGGACTGCCCTATTCCCTGACAGCCAAGCCAGCCGCCGAGCAACTGCGGCCAGGTTAGTCCTTCGACGAGTCACAAACCCCCCAGGTTTATTTTAAGGAGACAGAATCTGTTTGGCCTAGGAGGGTGAAATGAGAGAAGTGTGTTTGCAGGTGAGTGTGCATATATGACACCACGAGCCCCCCCACCCTTCCAGCCCAGACATTTCTATGAACACATGTGCCTAGGCCCCGGGAGATGTGCCTGTGACCCAGTTTTCACTGGCTTGGGCTCTTCCTGTCTGCGCTCAGCACCAGCCCTTGCTGTCCCCACAGGCTGGCCATTCTGCAGCTCTATGCACACAGCTGCAGGGGTAGGAATAACTTAGTGTCCCACAGCTCCCCAAGCAGATATGAGTCTGGCCACTCCTCTATCCTCCATTTGCAGGGACAGTCTGCAGGGCACAGGCTCACAGCACCATGAAAGAAAACTGGAGTCTCTGGCCTTTGAGCTGTCCCTGGGGTCTGCAGCTGGATGGCCAAACAGCCAGGTGGTTGCAGGACAGAATGACTACAATTGAGTTGACACTTCCCTGCCCCCCAAGCAGAGTGAGGTATCATTAAAATCACGATGACACCGTAGATGGCCAGATCCTCAGAGGCTGGGTTCAGCTCAGCAAAGAGAACGTGATGGATGATGGCTGACGGCGATGCCCAGAGCTCGAGCTGCCTTTTCCCTCTCCAGTTTGCAGCCAGCGAGGCTTCTCTTCTAAGGCATTAATTCTCATCTTTGGCTTTTGCCAGGGTGACCTGGGGATGTTCTCACCAATGCCAATTCTTGGAGCTGTTCTGGGTCTTGGCTTGTGTTAGAGGTGCCCAGTGAGTGGGGCAGAGGTGACAGGCATTGCCCTCAGGGTTCCCCAGAGAATAGCCCCCTCTGAAAAGACCTAGGGAGACAAGGCAGCTGGCTCTCTGCATCACATGCCACATGGTGTGTTCTCTCTAAAGAAAGACACGAGAAAGCTGTCTCAGTGCCCTGAGCTGGACTTACTGTCACTCATGGACACAGGAGGTGCGATGGCTCCCTGGCCCTTTCACGCTCCTCTACTGACCCATGTGAAATGTGACTGTTGATTGGAGAACAGTCCACTTCTGTGACTCTGCTGCCAAGCTTCACTCTCTCTGCCTCTTGGGAGAGGCCCTCCTCATCCAGGCCCAGGAGATTTGGAGACTGAGGCCAAGCCCGGTCTGCAGGGAGAACAGGGAGTCCCCCACCCTAGTTGTAGTTCACATTTAGCTTTGGTAAAAGCGCAGCTCGTTTTGAGCCACATGTACCAAGAAAGCCATGCCTTCACCTTGTAGTAAGAACTCCTGGTTCTGCAGCCTCATCCTCCTACAAAGAGGATGTTGACTAAGATCTTTATGTTCCCACTTCATCTCTGGAAAGTTCCCCAGCATTCTGATTAAACATTCAAGGGAATAGAGAAACAACACCAAGGAGCCTCTAACATTGGCCTTGGCCGTTCTGAGCAGTTGGTCCTGAGAGGGTTTCCCGGCCACCCCCTTCCTGGGGCCACAGTGTCTCCATTGTGTGTGTTGGGGGCATGTCACCACAGTGCAGCGAGCTTGTGGGGTAGACATGCAGGTCTGTCTGCACGGCCCACGGCAGATGTGCCCGGTGGCACTGTGCTGAGCCTGGTCTGTGCTCCCTTGGATGAGGACATGGAAGCTCACAAGCCATCTTCCCATTCTGCATCACCACCTGTCCACCCCCAGAGATGGTGCAAAAGAGGAGAGACTGGTTTTTAGCCCACCACTCACAACTCTGCCCACAGCCCGGTTTTTTTTTTTTTTTAATATTTTATTTATTTATTGGAGAGAGAGGATGAGATAGAGAGAGCATGAGAGGGGGGAAGGGTCAGAGGGAGAAGCAGACTCCCTGCTCAGCAGGGAGCCCGATGCGGGACTCGATCCTGGGACTCCAGGATCATGACCTGAGCTGAAGGCAGTCACTTAACCAACTGAGCCACCCAGGCACCCACAGCCTGGTTTCTATCAGTCATTATCCAACCAGGGACACAGAAGCCACTCCAAATATTTATTATTTATTTATTTATTATTTATTTATTTATTTATTTATTTATTTATTTAATTTTGCCACTCCAAATATTTAAAACAGGGGTTTTAATCCAGAGAATTACTGAACACAGAAACAAGAAGAGGACAAACTCAGAAGTGGGGAACAACAGCAGGAAATAGCCACCCCCAGAGGCTGGTGGAGTCCACTTTACCAGAGTGTGGGGACTAGGGCCACTGGGAGGAACTGGGGGCCACAGAAGGCCTATCTGGTGGGAGCTGGGGCCTCGAGGAGGCACGGTCACTGCTGGAAACAAACCGCAGGCAGGTGTGGGGAAAAATAGCCTGGCTTCTTTTCTCGTGCCCTGCAGGTTCTTCAGGTGCCTCTTGTTAGTTAAACCCAGCTGGAAGCCAGCTGACCTGGGGTCCTGGGACAAGCACGCTGCAGCGGTCAGCCCCCACCACTCAGAGCAGGGTGGGGGAGGTAGAGGAGCGGGTCTGAGGCAGGCAGGCTGGGATGTGCGTGGCCTCCGTCTGCCCTGTGTCATGTCCAGCCTGCTGTTTATGCCCCATGCTATCCTTAGACCCCAGTGAGAGTAGACGCAGGAGCTGACCCCGTGGGGGTTTTGAAGACTCACTCACCTAGAGAGGAAAATGTTTTTGGAAGGGAGGGGTAAAGCCTTTATTCTCCACAGTTGTCCTTGTTTTCCTTTGGGGGAATTTACCCGTTTCGCAACCCCACCTCACCATTCCCCTCAGGAAAGCCATGTCCCAGTTTTCTGTCCATCCTTCCCCTTCGTTCCTCTGCCCCCAATTTGATTTGCCCTGCCAGAGAACACTAGCCCAGACCATGCATCAGTGGTCATGAGTGTTTCCCCAGGATGATTCATTCAGAGCGTGATATTAGTGTGGACTGTCTGTCTGTAAGTAGATACCATCTACTAATCAATTTGTATTGTGTTTCCAATAAATTTCTGGAGATCATGTCTGGTTTGATGCTGTCCTTTGCTGGGATGGTGGCTCTGCTATAAGGCTCAGTGCATGCTCGCCCCAGCCCCCAGCATCAGGTGCTCCTCGTCTTGGGTTCACTCTCCCCCTGCATAGCTCACAGACAAGGCTGGAGAGGCTGACCTTCCCCAGCCACACTGAGACTCTCAGACCTATCCCCAGGGTCTGCATTTTCTTCTGCGGGGTCCCATCAGCCACATCCTGAGGACATGGAGGTTTCCTGAAGCTAGGTCACTCCAGGAGGGAGGTGGCCTTGGACCCTCGAGTCCCTTCGGCCCGGAGGTAGGAGGAGCAACCCTTCCCCATCAACCACTCTTGCACTGCTGTGCCCAGTGTTGGCACCCGTGTGAGAGCAAGACTCCCTAGCAGGTGAAGCAAACCCAGGAGCTGCACGTCCCACAGATGGAAGTACGACACCTTCTTCTCGGGCCTGTAAGTAGAAAAGAAATGTCGGAGTTTTCTTGAAGGGAGAGGGAGTCTGATCCGAATGCCTGGCATTTTCCACTCTTTCCTGAGTGCCCTGAGTGTTGAAACCTGCTTGGTAGAAATGACTGTTGTGTATTTTACTGCTTTCCACCTGCTTGACTGCAGTGTAGACTGCCTCGGGTGCTGTGTTAGAGTCATTGTAGCTTCACTTGGGACCCTTCAGCCCCTGTTTGTGACCCTTGTTTGCTGGGATTTGTGAGATGTTTTTCAAAGGGGGGGGGGCGCCTGCGTGGCTGGCCTGGTTGAGCGTCTGATTCTTGATTTCAGCTCTGATCATGATCTCACGGTCCTGGGATTGAGCCCCATGTCCGGCTCTGTGCTGGGTGTGGAGGCTGCTTGAGATTCTCTCTCTCCCTCTCCCTCTGCTTCTCCCCCTCCCTGCTTGTGTGTGCTCTTTCTCTCTCAAAAAATAAATAAAATTAAAATAAAATAAAATAAAAATAAGAGAGACACCGAGTTTCCTTCCAGAGTTTCACTAGAGAAGCAAGACACACACACACAAGGTTACCTACCAGAGACCAGGAGCGTTGTAATTAAGGTGGTGTCTGTTCTTGCAGGAATTCTGGGATAGAGGGCTCAGCAGGACTCATGGTCAGGGAAGGTTTTGTGGAAGTAGGGGGACCGCTCAAGATGGAACACAGCGG